ATTATTAGAAATATATAATTTAAATTAAACTAATTTTATTATTAGTTTTTAAATATAAGTAAAATATATAAAAACAATAATATATTATAAGCTATTTTCTATATAGATTTTAATAATATAATATATCTAATATCTAATAATAATTTTACTTATATATTTAAAATATTTAATATAACTATGATAAGATTTATATAAGATGTTAGTATATTAAAAGATAAAACTTAGGAGCTATATATAGTAAATAGAAAGGTAAATACTATAGAGATATTTATATAGGTTAAGTGGCCTCGGTTTATATTATTTATTATAATTTGGGTATTGAGTTTAGTAATAGTTATTATAGTAATATTAAAGTTTAGAGATATGCTATTTTAGAGAGATAGTATATTACCTCTAGTACTACTTTCTGAAGACTATAGGATGGTTAGGGAGTTTAGAGAGGTTGAGTTGAGTATAAGAGCTGATATAGTTAGAGTATAGTTGGTTGTAGATAAGTGGAGAGGGTTGAAGATTTTGATAAAGTACTATTAACTAGCGTTTGCATCAAGTTGTTTGCGTTGTAACCAGGGAGCAGTCAGGGTGTTGCACTAGGTTGGGGATGGCACGTGTTCCGCAAGATCTTAGGCGCGGACTCAGCGTTATCGGGGTAGATGCCAGCAACGAAGTGAACATCTCCCAGTCACATCACATCTATTAACGCAGAGCATCCCGGCAAGGCAAGACAGCATCTTTTCTAGACAACGCCCAGATCCAGGGACCTCAGGGTATTATCGATGTCTTCTATTCACTGCTTTCTTACACGCGCGTTTGTGTCTCTAGTTCCCGGCGCCACGAAGTCTAGAGCTGGTTTTATCGTCCGCGTCAATATCCGTAACATCGTACACAACATCAGTGTTTCGTCCGCATGATGGGCCAAGTGGTTGCTCAAAATCGATGAGGCCTCCGGCATCGCGAGGTGTATTGTCATGTTGTCAGCAGTGTGAGTTATATCTACAGCTGTATCCAGAAACCTGGCCCCAAAAGAGGTCGAGTGGGAAGCCGGGGTCATGGTTGCTGTTGGAAGCCCCAATGCGGGAGGGATTTGTCGCCTCTCTCCCTTTCGAGAAAGGCCACCCCGAAGAGCTGGGGGCTTGCCTATCTTTGTATTGGATGCTGTTGTCCCACCTAAGATCTGTCCCATCTTGGGACGAGCCTGCAGCATTTGTCCTTCCCTCCACGACCTTTGGTACACTCCTTAACTTGCAGCATTTTTTTCTCACTTGTTATCCCTTTCAATCATCTAAACGATGCTCCAAAACGTTCATCCTCGGGCATCGAAACCATGGTAAGCCTTATGCGATCCTAGTTTTTGTTAGAGGGGTAAAATGCCTCGAAACTATTCGTCGCCTCGTGCAGCGCTCAGATGCGAGCTTCAATCCGGGAACCTGGAGGCTTAAAATTAGCAGCCGGGCATGTCCAGCCTTGGAAAGCCTTCGTCCCGGATTTAGGATACCAGCCATTAATTAGGCCATAGCCAGCGGCCTGCCTGGTTGGACGAACGTACCTGGGACGTCTGACTTTGCACACCCAGATCCTTGATCTCGGGTCTGCGAAGATGATCGTTGATATATCCCTCTTTCGGGGCGACCCTCGGCTGGGCCTCCATTACCAGAGGCTGGCTCATAACTACCAAGAGCACTCCGTCGCTATAGGCTTAGTGGTTTTATTCTTACGCAAACTCTCTCTTCACGGCCTCAAAACAAAATCACCAATCTACTTTTGCTGTCCTACCTTTCCAAGGTGCAAAAAACCCACTTCTCCAAGTCCAGTCGATCTCCCCAACCTACGGCAGGCTCCTATGCATAGAGCCCAACCAACTAGAGCAGTAGTGTTCTCAATCATTAGAAGAGTCGTCATTTCTAAGTATACCCTACAAGGAACTAGAAGAGCGGGACATCTGAGGCCTCACGATAGACCGTCCCTGTATATCCGGCCAGCTTCCCCCACTGTCTGCTTGGTCCTCTGCGTAATACTGGGCGGGATAACTCGTCGACTAAGCACGGGTTGGGGGATGTCTCGCCCGTCGTTGAGCATCCAAATTTCACCCTTGAACGGCTCTCCTTTAGCATCCCCCGGCTATCCAGATAGTGTAGGGTAAAAGGATCTCTGTTTGACAAAGACACCGAGCCGCGTTAGTCATGCCCGCCTCGTTCCGTTGCGGTCAGAATTGGCTCCTAGCCCTAAATTAATCCGCCGGCTAGTTTTTTTACTCTCGATAGCATGCTCCAAGGGGACCCATAGTTTAGATGAGTTCCGCTTCATTCTCGGAAACTAACACTGCCTCCGTCCTCCTTCGGACTACGAAGGCTACCATAACATTTACCATAACATCTACCATAACATCCGGGGCGCTGCCCACCTTATCATCGAGGCACAAGACAACAGGAGTATAGACTATTATCGGGCCGGAATACGGCAAGAAAAGCACTTGGTATCGCGGCTCCGCGACTACTCCAACTCCTCCGCACCGTTCGATGCAATATGTCATGTCCGTGTCTACCTGCGATGTATTATCAAAGGTGGCCGAAGTGATGAAATATTCCAGCGGATACTCTACGCCCACAGATTCTTGTTAGAGAGCACCGCTTGATAGGAAACAGGGGTTAAGATACCTGGATGCCAGATAGCCTGATTGGGGGGATAAAACGTAACCCATACATAAATACCGCTGCGGCGGATGGCTGTGTGTGATTAGGGGTGGCTGGAGATGTATCTTGTATTTCTTCTCCCGGCAAGCCACGCCACCAAGCGCCTTCGTAAGTGGGTTGGCCAACTGTAGCAAACAGTACAAGGTGTTGAGTTTGCGACGGTTTAGTGCAAGGGATAGTTACGTACAAATGCCCGACGCCGAGCAAACAAGACTACGTAATGGAGCAATAAATAACCAACAAACACGGGCAGTGAGACGCCCTAGTCCTCTTTGCCCCTTGCGGCTGGTAAGCAAATGACGCTGAGAATCTTCTGTGTTGGAAACTTGTCCCACTCGCATCCAAGTTTGCTCTCGCGAAGCCGCGATAGTCCATCTTTGTAGGTTCCTCCACACTAAGTAGGAGAAGAGACATAGTTGAGTTTAGACTCCGAATGACTTCAAAAGGCCGGCATCATATGGACACCCATAGAGGTAAGTCGATCTCAGCGTGAGGCTTCGGCTTTTTCGTCTCTGCTTCTCAGCTGGATACGGGCCAGTCCTGATTGGATACTACCAGGGGACTTGGACTTCTCGTCCTACAAAACATACCCATGTACCAGGGGTGAAGCGTCAAGGATGAGGCACGGGGATTTACATTTCCATTAGGATAACCGCTGGAGGAGCTCGCAGATTGAATCGAAAAGTCGCTGGTTGCGGAACCTAATCGGCTTATGGCCAAGTCATACCTCATTCTTGATGAACATATGATGTTCCTGGATAGGTCAGCAACCATCGCGATCAATCTTGGAGGTGGGCGTCCGAGACGCATGAAAAAGCGTTTTCTCGGATGAAAAGGCTTTTCTCGAGTGAGGAGGTGTATACGATTGGGGAAAGGGGCCATGCTCAGACAAGTAGGACTAGTAGTCACGTGGAAGGCACTTTTCCGAACAAGACGAGTTGGAAGTACCAAACTTTCTATCAACGTGGGGCGCGACAACTGGGGGAACAGAATACGAGGATAGGGACATGGCGCCGCTCCAGAATACACTAGTTCTTCGTCTCAACTTTGGTGCTACCTTACGTGGGGCGCTCCTTTGCGAGGTGGCTCCAACGTTCGCCTGGCCGTCGCATGATGTCAATAAGCGAACCTAACATAGGCCGCGACTACCTACACTTGTAGCAATGAGCGTCGTTGGCGTAATGACCATATTCGCCGCCTGCACCATTTAGTATCAGTGAGTGCCTAATTCATGGCCTGGCCTTCGGCCGACCTACATTTGTGGGCTTGTAGCAGTGAACATCGTCCCGATAGCTCCATAAGGATATCCAGAAGTTTACGTTTACAACTTGGCAAGCTCCGTGTCCTCGTGCGACACCATCGCCCAACCTTCAGGGACCACTTCAAAAGTCCGCGTCTCGGCGTCATGGTGTATTTACTTCTTCCGTCCCGCAATCTGGTATCCCTGCCAACGAATCCTTCTCCCTCTTCATCGAAGGCAATACTTACTTATGTAAAGAATATGTGAGGCGTCAACAGCGATATATTCTTCGCGAGAAAATTTGGGTCGCCCCGCTTATCATCTTTCCCGTCCAACGACACGCCCGCATGTGTTAGAATCGACAACATCTCTGGAAGCGCTGCAACATTTACAGCCTATTCAGGGACTTCCTCGTAGCGGCGAAGGCGGTCTGGTATCTTCTTAAGCTCCTCCGCCTTCTCAGCAGTAAGTAGCGAGGGCATCTACCGGCTGGGACCGAGTCTGACGCTCTCGTTAAACGACCGCACCAACAAATACGTACATCCAGTAAGAAAAGCATATCGCTCTGGATCGTCATCGCATGGAGCATGTCGATAACTGCGAAAAAGGTTTGCGGTGATACCAAGAATGAACGAATCCAAGAGAGCTGGCATTACTTGATTACATACACGAACTAACTAATAGATACTCTTACACTATTTTTATTCTCTACTTATGCTTTATATACTATAGCTTCACCTACTTTAACTCTATTACTACTTCTATCTTTAGCGTAGTCGTTCTACTAGAACGACGGGAAACTCTCAGCAGGGTTCGAGATATCTTTTGTAAACTTGATCAGAAGGTATTTCCCAAATCTTCCCGCAGCCAGCTTTTGGTAGGTATAGTTTTGTCATTTTCAGTAAAGAGAAACGGAATATAAAACAGCTATCGAGAGAAGGTAGACTGAACCTATGTAATGCATGGCTTAATGCCTTGCGACAAGTAAATTGCTTCTTCAAAGAAAGTAACCCAACTCTAGATAGTGTTCAAATTGAAAACTGCAAGGCAGAAGACGCGTCGCGCTTGAGTTATCAAGTCCTCTTGCAGACTATAGGCGTATGTCTCCATGGCAGCTTCCCCTGTTGGAAGGCACTCTCGGAAATGAAGTCTAAAACAGCTCCCTTCTGTATCAGGGGTGATATCAAAGTCTTGACCAGTTGAATATCTCCACCCGTGTGTGGAGAAACGTGCAAGTCTATGATCTTCCAGGCAAGATTCTGCCAGGCTACCACTCTGGTATACAGACCCGAGATGTCAATTGTCCTTTTGACATCCCTGAATCTGGATGCCTGATACTTCGCGAAACAATCCACAAGAGACTTCGTATCCGGACACGAGCTTCGGGACAGCTGACCTCGGAGAATGTTCGCTAGCACAACAGCCGACTGCAATCCACAGTTAAGGCCCAACCCGGCATTCGGCGCCATCTTGTGTGCAGCATCCCCAAGCAGGACGATACGGTCACAGTGCCAAGTCTTGACAATGCCCTCCTCGACATTCGCGAGTTTAGCCCACTTGCGGGAAGCCCAAAGGTCTCCGAACTTGAGTTGCTGGGTGACGTGCTGCTGCGCGAATCTCTTGGCGAACTTTTCGGTATCAGCCGCTGAATAATGGAGCCGTTCACGGGTCGGCTTGGGAAGCCGCTCGTAGATGAAGAAGCTCACTTGCTCTGCGCTAACGTTGACCTGGATAGTAAAGTCATCTCCATGGGTCTCGTACATTGTATGTAGCTGCAACACCTCAGGACGCGGTCCGTGGCCGTACAACCCGCGGTAGTACGTCACAAAAGGTGCATCTGTAATTGGCAAGACATTGGCTGGTGCAGCCGCGACTCGGTTCATTAAGCATCTCACGGTGCTGTGGACGCCGTCGGCACCTATGACGATTGATCCTTCGAAAACACTTCCGTCCAAGCACCTAACCTTGACGCCATGGTCATATGTATCAATGCTCACGACCTCCTTGTTCGTCAAAACTCGAGAGTCTCTTTCATTAAGCTTCTCATAAAGGAACGCAATCAACTGAGCCCTGTGGAACATCATCCATGGGTGGCCGTGGCTGGGCTTCGGTTAGCCGATAACTTCTTTCCTGGAAGGAGTCATTAAATGTGGCAAAACGAACCAATAACCGATCGATTCAAACACATTGCTGTGTGAAATCTCCGTTCCATCTGGTTTCAAGTTGTATTTGTATTTCATTGGGGAGGATTCTTCAAGCGCATCGTTCAGCAGTCCGAGTTGATCCAGAATCCGTACATTGTGTGGCCATAAACTGATCGATGCTCCAGAATCAGTCAAAACGGTACCGCGCCGCTCCAAAATCTGGTAGTCGATACCAGCGCAGTGGAATATGTGACCTGTCAACAAGCCAACAGGTCCACCGCCGACTATAATTGCACGGAAGTTTGACATCCCGGAAGGCGAGGGGTGAGCACAGTCGCACTAAGAGAAAGTATAAAGTTTTCAAGAAACTCTAACGATGATTTACTACTACCTCGATGTTATCTCACTGCTTTATATACTAGAGGTTGCATCGCCAAAGCGCCCAAAATAAAATCTAGCGCTTACTAGGAGATATTAAGGCTTCCTCGATAATTAGGTTACTTCCATCACACCCCGATAAGATACCACCTCAGACGGAGTTTATAAGATTCCTGCATAGGCTATGGCTTATACAATAATTAGCTTAGTTCTATTGCGCCTGGTTAGGTACTGCTTCCGACCGAACTTTGAAGTGAATAAAGAGTAACCAGCGTCATGTAGCCAGGCGGCTGCCGATGCCACCTAACTTGTGCCCCGTTCATTGCCCTATCAGCAAAGCGATGTGGATTTGATCCTTACAACAGCGAATAACCTGTATGCTGACAGTGTTAGCTAGAGAATTTCCTATTTAGGTAGAGCAGCCGACGCGGGACAGTGAAACCCTGCGTCACTTCTACCATGATGGTGGCTAGGTAAGACCGAGTGCGATCCTTTGACACGAAACCATGGTTGATTGGTCACAGCATTTTCCTAATTGAGACATCACTCATATCCAAAATGCCAGAGGCGATAAACAGCTGTACAGACAAGCCCAACAGCAGCAGTGTTTACACCTCCCAGAAGCGACTTAACCCATCTGAGGCCGCGAATTGCGCCCCAAATGCCCATGGTCCCATGGACTGCGATGAAACCTAATAGGGCTCTGATAGCTGAGTAGTATCTCCCATTGATGGTGGTCAAACCTCCTAGGAAGACGGCGAAATTGAAATTAGGACCGGATAGGTCTGCTGGATAGGAACTTGCTCATCATTGCGAAGATGGGAATCTCGACCTCTCGGACATAGCGGGTCATCTCACTGCTGCCTCGAAGTCACGACCGCAAAAAAAGAATTGGAAATGAATTCACAATGAGTCGAAGTGACACGTCCCACCATGTAGTGTCCTTAGTGCCGGGTTGCCCGATTGCATGAAAGCTTGCGCAACTTGTTCGGCGTTCGTCCCCGATGTGCGCGAGATAGGAACATTTTTTGAGGGCCGAAGACGCGAAAGGATCGGAGTGGATCCGTCTGCAGAGATTCAGGGCTCCATTCCTCTGGGCTTGTTAGTGTTCACCGACCGGGCTCGAGTAAACTCTTAACAAATTCCAGGGGAGAAGTACATCCTGGGCGTGGGTGGCTTAGTGGCTTGCAGGGGTCATGCCATTTTAGTGGCTTTTTTGGAAGGAACTGATTGGATGGTAAGTAACGGCGTTATCACCCAGCTGAGTCGGAGCCGGGTTTTAGGTTGAACAGGGTCGGACTGGGCTGTCAGGAGCTTCCGCGTCTTGCGAATGCGATCAATATCGAGGCACGGGATTATTTTTGACTGAGAGAGGTGGAGCTTGGGGGAGAGGGGAAAAGTATAAAGATGGAGGAATGTCTTGATGAAGTTGGGGATTTTTTGTCATCAGAATCATCATCGCCAAGAAGATTAATACCACTCATTCCTACTACTCTCCTCATACAATCACATCTACACTCTTCTTACAAAAGAGGCTCCACTCAAGCTACCTTAGCAAATATCACCAATACCACACAACCCACCTTAAAACCAACCCAATCCACAGACCAAAAAAAAAAAAAAAATGTCTTCCAAGTCCCTCGCCTTCATCGGAGCCAGCAACGGCTGTGGCCACTTCGCCCTCCGGCACTCCCTCTCCGCCGGCTCCACGTGCACGGCCCTCTGCCGCACCCCATCCCGCCTCACCAACGCTCTCTCGTCCGTCTCCTCCATCCCCAAGGACAAGCTCACCATCATCCAAGGCAACGCTCACGACGTCGACTCCGTGGCCCGCTGCCTCATCAAACCCAACGACCCTTCTTCCCTTGTCGACCTCATCGTCTACAGCATCGGCGGCGTCATGAGCTTTACGACCTTTACTATCGACGACCCCAACGTATGCGAAAAAGGTATCGATACGGTCCTCACGGCGCTTGCCAGGTTGAGGGAAGAGGCGAAAATTGGGCAGCCGAGGCTCGTAGTGGTTAGTACGACGGGCATTAGTGACTTTGGGAGGGATGTGCCCATTGCTCTCTTGCCGCTGTATGCGATGTTGAAGAGCCCTCACATTGATAAGAAGAGGACAGAGCAGAAGCTGAAGGCGTGCAGTGAGGTTTATACGATTATTAGGCCGAGTCTGTTGAAGAATGAGGGTGAGAACGAGGACGAGGAGAAGAAGAAGGATAAGAAGAAGGAGCCTAAGGAGATTCGGGTTGGTGTTGAGGATTTGGAAAAGGGTATTGAGAGTAAGGCGGTAGGATACACGATTACTAGGGAGGATGTTGGGAAGTGGATTTTTGAGAATCTGGTCAATGCTCCTGGCGAGCAGTATGCGAGGAAGGCCGTCACGATTACCTACTAAGGGGGAAGAGGAGCGATTCAGTGGTGTTTTGAAGTTTTTCCCCCCCTTTGTTCGGCTGTTGGGAGATAACACTGGGAGGATATAATAATTTCGAACGAGGAAGTGAGAGGGATGGGCCCAGGGATTTCCAGATGTGGATGATCGGCTTAGCTCTAGCGTTTTGAGATCTTCTATTGCCTTTTTTTGTTTTTCTTTCCTTCTACTTTAGTTTGTGGGGTGTGCACTCCTATTTTTTCTTCTTGGTCATGATGGGTTGGACCTGGTAGACGTGGCTCGTTACGTTTCATTTGTCGTCTTTAATCTTCTACGATTTGCTTCAATAGAGAGTGCAGCATCGTTCACAATTTGCGTTGAATTCAAGGTAGCATTTAACAGATCTCCGCTCATACTACTATAATTTAAGTTTCCACTTGTACGGAATATGCATTCTCTTGCGCATTTCCTAGCCCAGCCCTTGAATTCCTTATTAGGTTTTGTATCAATCTATATAATTCTACGTCTTAAGAGAGTGTGCCTCGACTTTACTTTAATAGTAAGGTAGGATAATGAATAAAGTGATATATATTAAATATATTCTTTAAGGCCGTATTATATACAAATATATATAAAGTGATATATATTGAATATATTCTTTAAGACCGTATTATATATAAATATATATTACTAATACGCCTCTTTCGTAATCCAGTATATTTAATCCGCGCTATAATATAGAGCGACTTAAAGTTATATATATAAGTTTATACTTAAATATATCTTAAGAGACTACTTCTTAAAAGATGATTCTTTTTATCTAATAGAGCTTGGCCTATATAATCGCCTTTGCTTATCCTATTTAATAAGATAGTAAATATTATAAAAGCTAAAGGCACTGACGTAATGTAACAGGCTACGCCGTCAAGAGGCTTTAGTAGATGCCCAAGCTAAGCTAACTAACCCTCGCTAAGTATTACCCCTAGTAACTTATTTCTAATAAAAGACTTCTCTCTAACTAGATTCTAACTATACCCTATTTTTTTCTTCTTTTCTTCTCCTTATCAAAACCTTCCTATATATAAGCTTCTGCTAAGTAGCACTACTTTACTAAATCCTTATATTAGGTTTTAATTACTATAAATAATAAAGAAAGATTAGAGCTTAGCTTCTATAATAACTATAATAAATCAGAGCCCTATCTTCAATAAAATATAAAAAAAAAATTAGAACCCTACTCTTTACAAACTACAAAGAAGTTCCTATTTCTTATAATCTAGATTATAAAAATAGAAAGATAATTAGATACTATTAAACAAACTACTCATAATAATAATAATAAAGATAGTAGATAATATATTTATAGGGCTTAAGGAAGCTCCTAAATAATAAGACCCTTTTATAATAATTATAACCTAACTTTAGTATATTACTAAAAAATAAATAAAATAGAAGAAAATATATAAAGCCTAGATTAAGATACTATAAGAAAATATAATATAGTTAACTTCTTAAGCTCCTACCTTTATAATTTATATACTTAATTTTAAATATAATAATAATAATAATAATAATAATAATAATAATATTAAAAATACTACCTAGCTATAAAATATATAGAGACCTTAACCTACCCTATCTAAGCCTTCTAAGTTTAATAGATATAAAAATAGATTCTATATATAGCTACTTAAGATAAAAAATAAACTCTGTATAGATATTAAAACTATTAAGGATAATAATATCTAGTTTAGCTATATATTCTCTTACCTAGACTTAACTTCTTAGTAGATATATACTACCTATATAAAGCTTAATACCTCCTATAAATCTCTAAGAGACTTTTTAAAATACCTTTATAATTACTATAGAGATCTAGATAAGGAAGAAAAAGTTTTAGATAAATTTAAAAAGCTTAAGTAAAAAGAAAACTAGCTTTTTATCTACTTCTACTCTAAGTTTAAAGTAATACTAGCTAATATAGAAGGAATAACCTAAAGTAATAAAGTAAAAAAGGTAGACTTAAAGCTAGCACTTAATAATAAGCTATAGAGAGTAGTTACTAACTAGATCTTAATATTTAATAATTACTATAGATATATTAAGGCTTTTTAGAAACTAAGTTTTTAATTAGAAAGCCTTTATATAGAAAAAAAGCATTATTAGAGCCCCCTATATATACTAAATATAAGGACTGAGGAAATAGAATAAGAACCTATACTAGCTAATATCAAATCCTATTACTAACTATCTCCTAACTAGCTATAGAAGAGATACTTAAAGAAAGAAAATGATATTTTAAGAAAGAAGTAAGCTAAGTAAGTAAATATAGAAAAATAGAAAT